AGGGAAAGATAATCTTACCTTTATTCATCATCCCTAATCTCTAAGACTGAGAGAGATCGAGACAACAAGTACGGGAAAAGAAGAACCAAGGAAATGAGGGCAAGATAGAGAGGGAGGGGAGGCGGGATCATGTCTTAATACTAGATGAATTTGACCTTAATACTTCATAACCATAACATAGACATTTAAACACAATTTAATATTTGAGTTTTTGGAGAGATATTTGGGTGGGGAATAAATCTCTTCGAGATTTATTTCCAAGGCTTTTTCAATTAGTTATCAACAAGGAAGGCACGGTAAGGGACATTGGAATATGAGAAGGGGAAAGTTGGAAGTGGGGTATAGAGTGGAGAAGAGAGAGGATGGGTCGCGAAAAAGATGAGGAGCAAGGGTTGGGGGTGGTGTTGGCGAGTATAAAGTTAAGGAAGGGTTTGGTAGATTTATGGCAGTGGAAGTATGAGGCAGATGGGAGGTATGTCGTAAAGACAGCTTATGAATTTTTAGCTCCTGAGGAATGCTTGCTTGAGGGACATTTATGCAAATTAATATGGTGTAAGTTGGTGCCTTCCAAAGTGGGGTTTTTTGGGTGGAGGTTGTGCCTAGATAGACTTCCAACAAGGTGGAACTTGCAGAAGAGGGGGGTGGTTTTACAAGGGGATGGTATGGTGTATGGGCTTTGTAAAGAGGGTGTGGAAGATGTTAATCACTTGTTTTGTACATGTAAGGCGGCCTGGTTAGTATGGGTTAAGGTGATTAAGTGGTGGGGTTTGGAGGTAGTAATGCCGGACACAGTGAGGGGTGTGGTGGATGTTCTCTTGTGGTGTTTAGGCAGTGTGGGGGGTAAGGAGATGGGAGCATGCATTTTTTTGGTAACCTCTTGGTATTTATGGTTCTGGAGGAATACTTTGGTATTTAGAAGCAATGGGGAGTTTAAAGAGCAATTAGTGGAATTAATTCAAGTGAAGTCTTATTTTTGGATTAGAAATAAGGTGAATGGGTGTGTTTTCTCATTAGCTCAGTGGCAAAGCAATCCCAGGGAATGTGCAAAGGAGCTGAAGCGATACAAGAGATCTTTCAAGCTGTTCTCCAAGCAGCAGCAACGACACCTTCCCAATTAGCTTTCTTTGGCTGTATGGATTCCTATTCGGGCAAGCTGGAAGGTTGTGGTCTTTAATGATTTTTTGGGATTTTCAGCATGCTTTTGTGCGGGAGTTCCTTTTATGTTTTTTTGGGAGTGTAAGCATATTAGACTCTTTATAGAAGGGCAGGAGTACCCCTTGTGCTCCATTAAATTTTAAATATTAATAAAGTATTTGTTTTGCTGATAAAAAAAAAAAATATTTGAGTTGATATCTATTAACATAAAATCTTTAATTTAAAATTAAGGTTAGATATTTTACTCTTTTTTATGACCAGCAAACAACTTTTAATGTGCCAAAAATAAACATACAATATTATATATTGTTAATCAAAATACTTCAACAAAAGACATAACCAAGGTGCATTTGTAATTTGTCTAATATACTGATATGAGGAACAACCATGGCTAATGGTGTACCAAGATGTTTCGTTGACTTAAGGGAATTATACGATCACGTTGAATGGAACTCTTTGAAACAAATTTTGATTAATTTGAAGTTTGAACTTTGAACTACCCTGAGTATTTTGTGCATTGGATGATGACATGCTTATTTACTGGACATTTCTCTGTAATTGTGAATGGTACAGGGCAGAGAGACTAGAGACAACGCAAATATAAAAAAAATTGAAGATAAAGGCTCACCTAATTTATAGAGGGTTGGCCATAGATCCCCTTTGTATTTTCTGTTATTCACAGGAAGAGACTTTTGGAACGCTTGTTTGAGTGTGAAATGCCAGAACTGTCATTGAAGAGGGCGTTTCAATGGTCTAGCTTTGGCATAACTAGGACCCTAGACCTTGGTCTGTGTAATGGATGTGGATTAATTAATATTCCTTGTGCAGAGGGAGGAACATCCAAGCTCGAAAGCTTATAAGTAATATCTGCTGCTCTGTTTATTGTTTGTGGTAGTAATAGCATGTTTGGTTTAAGGTGAGGAAAGAAGGATATATTTTTTTGTTAGATAACAAAAATTGATGGATAGGAGAGGGGAACGGAAGAGCTTCCTTCTAATTTCTTTAATAATTTTAGTATAACTAAATCAGGAAAAAAAAAAAAAAAGGCCTCTCATCTTTCATTGCCCTTAAGTCGAATAAAAGGTGAACGAACTTGTCAAAAATGAGTGAAGCCTTTAGCAATTGGATTGTACATATTCACTTGGAGCTTTTGAATTTTGTTTTTCCATTTCTCTTAATGAACTTTACTTGCCATTTTCTAAGGAAAAGAAAAAGGAAAAAAAAAAAAAAAACAGTAGAACGCATAATACATCATGGAACATTTCTTTAAATCCAAGTACTTACGGCACATTGCTATACATATGACATTGTTAAGATGTGAACACAATAATTTAGATTATATTCACATTTATTATAAATATTTTATACTTTAAAATATTCTTTCTATATATTTTATACCTCAGAACATTTTCTTTATAAACCCCTATATATAAGTTATTGTACATACAGTATCATTCAAGAAAGTAATAAACTTTTCTTCAAATATTTCTTCTTCTTTTTCGATTTCTATCATGGTATCAAAGCTAAGTTCCTGGTTCTTCTTTTATCATTGCTTGGTTATTAAGTTGGATTTTCAGATCTATTCCAGATCTGAAACTTTGTCGTTGGGTTCTCTTCTCTTGCAGATTGAATTGTTTATTCTCAATTCTCACGCCTTTTTTTGAGGTATCTTATTGAGTTGCAATTTCAATCTTGGCATCTATTTCTTCATACTTTTAAGTATTGTGAGTTCTACTAATTCTATGGCCAGTTTTGAAAGAATCGTGACTCATCTTGCTACTGCAATAGTTGCCAAAGAGGTGATAAACCAACCTATTGTCAACCTTGAATCTCTAAAACAAGTGATATTAAATTTTTCTTAATGCTCCTACTGCCTTATCTGTTGTGCCAGGTACTAAACCTTGATATTTCGATACTGGTTGTTGTAATCACATGTTTTTAACTACTGCTTATTTTTCTTCAATGTCACCAAATAATTACTATCCTGACATTTATTCTGCTAATGGCTCCCCTATGAATGTTAGTCACATCGGCAATATTTCTACAAATTCATTGACTTTACCAAATGCTTTCTTGGTTCCAAAACTTAATTATAATTCTCTTATCTATTGGTAAGTTATGTGATCTTGGTCTTGAAATAACTTTTTCTACTCATGGTTATCGTGTGCAGGTCCTACAGACGGGACAACTTCTTGGAACTGGTCACAATGTGGGGCATCTATTTGGGCTCAATTATCTACATATACCTAATCATAAAATGGATACACCATCATTTCCAAATGACCGATTCATCCAAACCCTACTTTGTACTGCTGAATTAAAGTCTTTGCAAATTTCATATCAACAAATCTTCCAAGTCTGTGTTGCTACTAATATTTCTCCTCTTCATTTATGGCACTCACGGTTCGGACATACCTTAGTCGGTAAACTCCGTCCTTTTATTTCTCGTGGTTTATTAGGATTTGTTTCAAATGAATCTTTGTATTGTGTATCATGTCAATCTGCAAAACAACCAGCTTTATCATTTACTAGTAGTCATTCTCTTTCTGTTGCTTCTTTTGATCTCACGCATTATGATATCTGGGGTCCATCTCCGACACCTACCATGAGGGGGGTTTTAGGTATTTTGTGTTATTTATTGATGATCATACTCGTTTTACCTGAATATATCTTATGAAAAATCACTTTGAGTTGCCACAAATTTATATTGATTTTGCTACTATAGTCAAACACAGTTCTCTAAAATTATCAAAGTTTTGAGAACTGACAATGCCATGGAACATCTTAGTACTAAACTTCAATCCTTTTTGAAAGAAAAGGATACACTGGCATAACAATCTTGTCCTTACACTTCTAAACAAAATGGGCGAGCCGAACGTAAATACAGACACATCCTTGATGATGTTTGTGCTTTGCTCATTTTGTCTTTTTGTCTAGAGCGATTTTAGGGTGAAACTGCTCTTACAACTGTTTATCTCATTAATCGAATTCCATCATTGGTCATCAATAATAAGTCTCCATATAAATGTTTGCATGGTAATTCTATTACCTATGATCTTCTTAAGGTTTTTGGTTGTGTTTGTTTTGTTCTTATTCTTCTTCCACCTCATGAATATAATAAGTTAGAGTCTAAAACTCGATTATGTTGTTTTTTGGATTATGGGATTACACATAAAGGATATCGTTGTTGGGATCCTATGTCACAAAAACTTCGAGCCTCATGTCATGTTATCTTTTGGGAACACACTATGTTTTTCTCATTATCAAACTTCCAGGTGTCATCTTTTGATCAACCTCCACCTTTTACTAACCCTTCTATTGAGCTATTTCCTAGTGACTTTGATGCAGATACATTTGATGAGCTCCATGATGCCTTTCCCACATGCTCCACCTAATTCTATCGAAGATGTTCTGCCTGCTGGTAATGTGTTAGACAATGTTGAGTTTTCTTTTCTTACCTCTTTCGTATCACATATTGGATCTAACCCTGTTGATCTTGAACCTGAAAATGAGATCCTTAATCCACCTTCAAGTCATCCTACTCGGGTAAGAAATCCTCCTAGCTATTTTCGTGATTATCATTGCTTTCTTGTTATCACCTCCTTACATGAGCCTTAATCCTACCAAGAGGCCTCTTCTAACCCTCTTTGGCAGTAAGCTATGCAAGATGAATTACAAGCTCTTGACAAAACTCGTACATGGGATTTGGTTGATCTCTAGTAGGTTGTAAATGAGTATACAAGATCAAAACTTGGTCTGATGATTCCGTGGAGTGTTACAAGGCTTGTTTGGTTGCTAAAGGATTTACTAAGGAATATGAGATTGATTATAAGGAAACCTTTGCACCTGTTGCTCGTCCTACTTCAGTTCGTAATTTGATTACTATTGCTGCTGCAAAAAAGATGGAAATTGTTTCAGATGGATGTGAAAAATGCCTTTCTAAATGGTGATCTTGCAAAGGAAGTTTACATGAAACCACCTTCTAGACTTGAGCATCCTCCAAACAAAGTTTGTTGATTGAAGCAAGCTCTATATGGTTTGAAACAAGCACCTTGAGCTTGGATTGCAAAGCTTAGTACCACCATCAGTGTATTTGGCTTTACTTCTAGTCCTCATGATACTGCACTGTTCATACGCAAGACTGATCATGGTATGGCTATACTCCTTCTTTATGTTGATGATATGATCATTATTGGGGATGATATTTTAGGTATTCATGATCTTTAACAATTTCTCAGTCATAAGTTTGAGATGAAAGATCTTGGTGTTTTGAGCTATTTCTTAGACCTTGAGGTCACCTCTTCTGATGATGGTTATCTTGTCTCTCACACAAAATATGCTTTTGATCTTCTATCTAAAGTTGGACTCATTGACAGTAAAACTGCATCTACTCCTCTTGAACCCAATGTTCGACTTACATCCATGGATGATTCTCCATTAACTGATCCTACTCGCTATCGATAGTTGGTTGGAAATTTGATTTATCTCACTACAACACGACCAGACATAGCTTATGTAGTTCATGTTGTTAGTCAATTTATGGTTACACCTCGCTCCACTCACTATGCAACAGTACTTTGCATTATTCGATATATTAAAGGTACCATGTTTCATGGACTTCACTTTTCTGTTCATTCATATCTTGAACTTTATGCTTACTTTGATGCTGATTGGGCTGGAGATTCTAATGATCGTAAATCCACCACTGGATATTGTCTTTTTCTTGGTGATTCCTTAATCTCTTGGCATAGCAAGAAGAAAACAATTCATCACGTTCTAGCACAGAGGCTCAATATCGAGTACTTAGAGACACTACATCAGAGTTACTTAATTTACGTTGACTACTAGAAGATATGAGTGTTTCTCAATCGCCTGCTACTAATCTTTATTGTGACAATCAGAGTGCCATGCAAATTGCTCATAATAATGTCTTTCATAAACAAACTAAACACATTGAGATTAACTATTACTTTGTTCGCCATCATGTTGCACAAGGAACTGTTCATTTGGTTTTTATTAACTTCGTTGATCAACCAGCAGGCCTTTTCACTAAGGCTCATTTTCCTCATACTCTTCTTTCCAGACTCAAGTTGATTTCATCACAACCACCTTGAGTTTGAGGGGAGATGTTAAGATGTGAACACAATAATTTAGATTATATTCATATTTATTGTAAATATTTTATACTTTAAAATATTCTGTTTATATACTTTATACCTCAAAATATTCTCTTTGTAAACTCCTATATATAAGTTATTGTGCATACAGTATCATTCAAGAAAATAATAAACTTTTCTTCAAATATTTCTCCTTCTTTTTCGATTTCTATCAGACATAAGCTTTACACCATAGCTCTTCAACTGAACAACTCCTTAAGAACTGATGGTACGCAATGGAAGGGCTCTTCACCCAACTCAGAAGTATATAGTTTGGAAAGAGCCGAACCAGCAATCTTCCAGGCAAAGCCACATTGATTCACATCTCTCTTTTCCATGGCATAGTCATATGTAACATGCTAAATGGCTACAGCCTCGTCATAGATTTCTCTTAGAGGCCTTTTACTCTCAAACTCTGCAGCACCATATGGTAGCTAAGGCAAATGGAGAATTTAGCAAGTAAAGATCAGCATGTTTCAACAGTGATGAGGATGGGGCAATGTATGAAAAAAAGGGAAGGACGCATTCACTCTTACCTGCTTATAGTTTATGACCTCGTTAGCAGCCTCATTCCTTTCTTTTCCATTGTGGTTTAAAGCATTGCTCATATCTTTCCGGTGTTTCTCGTGCAGTTCCTTCCACTTCACTTTCAATGCCTCCACTTCTGGGGTGCATCTTGAGACAGGGAAGCTTTTGAATTTCTAAAAAGAATGAAAAACTCGAGAATGTTACAAAACTCCTTCACCTTAACTTAAATTGAATGATAAAAATAAAAAATTAAAACATAAAATCAAAAAGGGATTCCAAGGGAAGGCGAAGTAAAAATGGGATTCAAAAAGAACTGCAGTTTATGCTGGCTGATCTTAAAAAAGTCAATTCTCCAATTCCTTACCTTTCTGTGAGAATTTTTCTTCTCCATATGATTCTACAAAATCAAATATTTTCCCCAAAATTGATGTCGATTTGTAAGAGTTCTTTTTCTTCACCATATAGTGTGGAAACACTTTTACCCTTAGTTCTTCAGGAACTTCAATCTGTTGAGCAGTAGGTAAAAGGGTAAAGAAATTTCAAATGTTACCCTTTCCATACAGAAGATGACAAGTCATATGACTCATCTATTCCAGAATGAACTCAAGTTTGTGGCACAAGTGAAGAATCTAAGATAAGCAAAATCATCAAGGTAAATGGGTGGATTTTTGTGGGTTTTTATGGTGCAAATGGTTGAGGCTTAATTCCTTGAAAACTATATTGTCACTGAATGGTTATTTTCCAGTTTGATCCCACTAAAGTATAATTTTGGGAGTGATGAACTGAAAAAATTTCCCAACCAAAATCATTTTGCCAAATTAGCTGCTCTCAAGAGTAAAATCAAAACGCTTGGACTTGTCACACAACATGGCACCAAAAATGGCCCACATGTTCCTGATAGCAACATTTACATAAAACTATGGCAATTGAATTGCATAAAATGTAATGCAAGTAATGCCTGACAAAAAATTCTTTCAAGGAAATGCATGGCTAGTTTGTTGGAAAACATTCAACAAACTAAATAGGAAACAAAACCAACTGGTCAATTACAGGCCAGATTATGAAGCAAAAATAGTTGAAAGAACACTTCAGTATGAGATTCAAAATCATGCCTTCCTGCAGTCAGTAAGAATTACATGCCTCAGTGAAAATGTTTAATATTATATCACTTCTGCAGAAATGTATTGCCACCTAATGCAATATTCTAGACTCTCTAAAGCTCCAAAAATAGCTAATTTCAGGCTCACCATAAAAAAAAGTCAACCACTTGACATAGCAAATTTGACAATTACCCATATTCTTCAACAAATGCAACATCAAAATAGGTTAATATTTGGCAACTAATCCAGTAATTTATTTAATTTACCTGTTCTCCACTCTTTTTGGGTGCATCTAAGGCATCATAGTAGATATCAATTAAGCGAAGGATGTTTTCCTTCAGATGAGCTTTCTCTGTAGGGTCACCATCTTCCAGTGTAAGATACCTATCCATCATTGCCATCCAACTATGAGCTGCCACACCAATACTGGAACTGAAATCAGACAACAAATTCAACATTAGCACCAGTAACTTTAAGTTACTTCATGTATTTTACCATACACATTAGGAACCAAAGCCAGAACGCTTCTTGGTTGCTAAAAATTAGGTTAGTAATGGAGGGAGTTCTAAAACACAATTTAACAATTATTGTAATAATACTAAACAATTTTGATTTGTTGTCTGAATACAGCACGGCATTCGACAAAACCTGACAATAGATTCAGAATGGAAAGGGGAAGAATATTTATGTGTTCATGTATATATATGACTTTAGATGATAAACACCTGTTGATAAGAACCATGTATTGTACAAGACTAAAGATAAGCTTACACCAAAATTCTTAGATCGTCTACATTAAACATATTTCCTTACAGTCTACAATGGATCAAATCAATCATTTGGTCTAATAATTTTGTAAAATATTCTACAGACTGTTACTTGGCAGTGTGAGAATGGTATAACATACACTAGTGTGGATGAAACTCAACTATTACATACATTAGAATTCAACATAAAAACCATTTCTACAATCAAATTCAAGCACAAGTGAATTTCTACAGTCAGTTTTTCCTGGAAACAACATGGTTGTAAAGAATGCACCTAGGCAGCATCATTCTGCCTGCCTTGGCCTCTAGGAGGCCAAGTTAGGTGGTTGGCAATGACTAGGACATCTAGGCGGTATTAGATAGGTGCACTTAATTGTGCCTAGGCAATTTTTTTTTCCCATTTTTTGGATACCTAAAATGACGTCATTTCCTTTTAATGCAAAAACTTTTAAAAATTTAAAAATAAAAGCAAATAGTGATAGGCTATACAAATAACAAATGGATAGACAAAAACCTTAATTTTTCATTCCAATTGCCCTTTGCTACATCCTCCCCCTCTTTTAATGCTACAATCCTTTGCCCATCTTCTTTATCAGTGGCCATTTTAATACTAGTGAAAGCTTTATGTTTTGATTCTTTATTGTGAATTTCCTTTTATAGTTTGTGTTCTTCATTGCCTATTTTGTACTCTTTATCTTTCAGCTTTGTTTCTCTTATAATTAATAATCTATCTTTTTTACTTCTTTGTTTCCTATTTGAAAATATCTTTTTTCCCTGAGCCTTGATTTGAGTTTCTTTGTACTTTGTCCACAGTCCTCACAATAAGTGCAGACCCATCTTCTGTTGCCTCAAATCCAACTTCAACTCCACAATCAACACAATGATAATGCGAAGAAAAATGCTTCTTTTGTTTTTCTTTTTTAATTTTTTGAAAAAAAAGACTCAAAACATCTAGGGATACCTAAGCTGATTAGGCACTACACTGGGGAAAACGCCCACCATCACCTGGCGCTTTCTACAACCATGGGAAACAAATTGTAAACAATCAATTAATTACCGTGGCTGAAATGTAGATCTTAAGAACAGTTGGTGCAGCTCTTCCTCCAACTCACCATCTGAAAGTTCACCTAGCTTTTTATTGGAGACACTCAATGGTGAAGATTTGGATGCCCAACGTTCACTACTCTCCTCAAAATAATGTAATAACTGAAAAGATCACAGCAATAGCAGGTTAGCTTCAGGAAACTTAAAGTGTGATTGGAAACTAATTCAAGATAAATGTTTGCCTGGGAATTTCTGGATACAAAATACATGTCTCCATCAAGATCCCCACCAGCCATCTGATCAGACAGAGACCGTGGCCCTTTGCAGGGGAAGAATATAGCAAATTTTGCCTGTCCAACAAAATCTTCCAATTCTTTCACATATCTAGCATTTAGGAGATGAATATCTCCAAAATGCAAACCAGGATGACGGTATACTAGTACTTTCCCTGAAATCTGCCCATTGTCCCTAAATAATTCAGAGAGAAGACCATGTAATAAGTAATCATCTATGCTCAATACATAGTTTTATTTGGAAAAAGGAAAATTGCATCTGCAGAGAAAGAGGTTTTATTTCCCATCTAATAAAACTGAATAAAACTGAGATGAAGTGCTCTTTTCCCAAGGAATCATCAGCTGTCATTAATTATTATATCTTTTAGTTTTACATGATCATAACAGTATCAAGTGGCACACTACCATCAATCGCACTCAGTGTTTTTGATATTCAACATCTCAGATGAACCAACTATTTTCTTAGTTTTTTATTATGAGATACTAAGCAAAATCTATTTTCAACACTCCAACAAACCTTATCAATAAAGAAACTATTGTGGCAACAAACAGCTGATGTGTTGGCCAAAAAAACTAAGAGTTGTTGGGAATCTATCTATTCAACTACAACAAAGATCTATAATTAATTATTGAAATTATATTACTAATAAAAGGTAATTAATCCAATTCCAAGTATTACTTCTATTTCTCCTTTTGGTGAATTCAGAAAGATCTTGAATTTTAGCAAGGAAACTTCTTAATTTGTGAAGTTGATACTAGAGATGAAGTCACTGTCACAAAAATAGCAAATAACAAGAATAGAAGCGATTAAGAGTACAATCTTACGTACAAGATAATGCATACTTCACCCTTTTCCAAGATACCAGTAGGGTCAGCTGTTCCCATTAAGTAATAACAATCATTTACTGGGATCTTTCCTCCCTTAAGGCCTTTTTTTTCTTCCTTGGACGTTACAAATGATTCATTCTGTACAGATGTTTCATCTAGTGGAATTCCAGATAAAATCATTCTTGCTGCGCTGAGATCATCCATTGAGCCACAATTGAGGGAAACTGCATGTGGATGAAGTCATAACAGTGTATTTAGAGATTGCTAAAACCAGTGTTGATAGGGTTAGACAAGCAAAAGAGTAAACGACACAAGACATAATAGTGTTAGACAACATTCAGTTTCAAAAAGGGGAATAAAAATGATGGAATCCATAGCAAGCTTAAAACAACCTCTGAGTGCTGCACGCCTATTGGAGAAAGCACTCTGTGCATCTTCTAGTGCATTCTTCAACACGTCCATGAAAAAGTCTTCTGGCACACCTCCACAGCTAAGAAGTGCAATTAAATTCCTTGAGAGAGATGCTCTTCGAGGCCGTTTACTGCAACACATAACTTTGAAACAATGACCTAAACCAAATGGTAAGTGGAAACTAAAAGTTGGAAAGCATTCAATTTCTCTGAGTGAATTCAAATCCATCAAAAATAAATTCATCAAGATGCAATTATGGAAATATTATAAAATAGCAACATTATATTGCCACTCAAGCATTGGGTGGTAAAAATTCTTTCTGGAGACAGAAGCAACAATAATCCAAAAGGTCATTTTGGAAGTTTCTTATGGGGACAAGTACTAGGAAACTCTGGGACTGGGACACCAGAACAAGCCATAGGTTTTCATTTTTGTTTGGGTGGGGGTGGGGGGGGACTTATGCACACACCATTCATGATCTGACTATAAGTTGATCAGAGCAGTTAAAGCAGGACATGGGATGTGAGATTCAGGCTTCAAGTTTCTTTTCAACTTTTGCACACAACTAGAAGACTGTAGTTGCCCAGTAGCCAAGAATGGACTACCCTGCCCAAAATCTCATGAGGAAACCTGTGGCTCCAAGTAATGGCACTTCCAGAAGAAGATAATAGCTCCAGGTGCAGCCTGATGTCAATCACCAAATATAAATTGTCCAGCTGGATTCAGTATCTCGTGATACTTTAAAGCTACTAGTCCCCAGGATTTTAGAAAGGAAAATTAAAAGGGAAAGGATCTGGATCTCAAAATTTTTTTGGCCATCAATCTGAATGGAATTTAGATCAGAAAGATTAAAAGCAATCACATGATTCATCTACCTAGCTGTTATTATGTTATGTGTAAAACAGAAATGAGAAGACATAAGGAAGCTTAAGTTCTTTGCTATAACCTCAAAAGCTAAAACAATTCAAGAGCCAAAATTATGAGAAGTTTTCTCTAGAGAATATTACAGAGAAGATAAGGAAACAGGAAAATACAATACTCAACAACCAGAAATGAAAACAATATGACAGTTAAATAACTCCAGCCCTAAACCTGATTTCAAAAGTACCCCTTACCACTAATGAAACAACAATAGAAAACACCAACCCGTGTGGCTTTCAAATTATCATCCATCAGCCACCTGTCACCTACTTAACTCTTGCATTTTCTACATAAAATATTGTAACAAACAACTATATGTACATACATAAGAAAACATCATATAGTGTGACCTAACAAAGCATTTATTAGAACAACATATACATTAGCACATGAATAATGGCAAATACCTGGTTGCAACTACTTCCAATGAATTATTTGTGGAAATACTTGATTTTGGATCTGGATGAACTTTAATCATTGAGTCTCGTAGCTGAATGGTTCCTCGAGGGAGCTATGAGATTTGGAAATTAAAATTAGTATAAGAATCTGTACCCGTATCTAGAAATACTTAGACAATGAAGAAAATATAAGCTAATTAATTATCTAGTAGTCCAGCTGTCAATTGGTCTGTAGGAACAGCCAGATATATGTTACTCTACCATAAATAATGTTTACCAGACTAACTAGATTGTTTAGGCTCCATTTAGTATGGTTATGGTTTTCGGTTTCTAGTTTTAGTTTTCATAAATTTTGCAACTATTGAAAACCAAAACCAAAAATCAAAATCTAACAATTTGTTACAAACTAGTTTTAACACTACAAAAAGCTCTATAAACATGTACACATGAAAGTAAATGAGATTCTTATTTAGAGTTGTAAAAGTTATAAAAACCAAAAACCAAAAACCACAAACCACAACCATACTAAATAAAGCCTTACTAGATCACTTAATTTGAAAGAGTATTGGACCTCAACTCATGGTCAAGGTCCAGATAAATTTATTTTGGGTTACATTAAAACTTGTAGGTCATATATATATATATAGTCAAAGAAGTAAAATCCAGATACTGATTCTAAGGAGCCCACATGAGGTATAAAGGTGGAAAGAGAGCAGATCTCATCAAGAAATAGAAAACCAAAAAATTTATATTTACCCCAAAGGGAAGGTATGTGGTGATGTGAAAAATCCATTGCTAATTAAACATGGTGCTCTATTCGCACCATAAATTTAGATATCCCTTTCCAGCAGTATTAAGTTAGGAGTACCATCTACTTTAGATAAGATTCTTTCCAACAAAAAATCAATCATGCTTTCTTGCCAAAACAGCAGTACATATAAATGCAGCAAATATGTTTCATATTCAACTATCAAAAACAAAAAGAACAAGAAAATATTGAAAACATGAAAAGTAAGAAAAAATAACAAAAAGTTGCTGAACACAACCTAACAAAAAACTAATTAAAGCTCATTAAACTAATGGTCTAAGGCAAAGAACTACCTACAGTAGAATACCATAACTTGCCTCAAAAACAAAGAGAGGATAAATATACATGCTACTCAGAGAATCTTAATGACATTTGCCTAAAGGTAACAGATATAACTACAAAGAAGCATGCTACATCATCATAGGAAGATTTATAGTTATACCAAGCAGTAAAACCAAATTGGTCCCATTCTGAGGTAATAACAATAAGAACAAGAATATGAAATTGGGAAGTTCACCATGACCATGGAAAAAAAAATTCCTTTATTAAAAAATTGCTTAAAGCCATACCTTTTTATTAAGAAGTAAAGTTCCCTTTGCAGCAGAACCATTGTGAAAGAGGCGGCACTGAATCAGCAAAGGCTATAAAGAGAAAATGAAAAGGTAACATTTATGCAAAAACAAATATATATGTATATTACATACACACACAGCAAGAAAGTAACAGGGATCTGTTAGATATACTGACTGGTTCCATAAATTGAGCATCTGGACAGAGCATGTTTGAGGATGTCACCTGGGGCCCATGGAAATATTATCTTTTAGGTAAATAAAGATGATTGCAAGAATAAAAAAACAAAAACAAGATCAAGAGGTTAAATGTCCTTGTGGTATTCAATCCCAATAACATCTGCCATACAAAAAGTAACATAATAGCATTAACAGATAAGAAGACACTATGGAAACAATTCAAAATCCGAAGGAAGCTCGGATCCCATTTCTCCATTGGTCCACCAGCACATTTGATTCATGCTGCTGGATAGAGGTGCTTGAGAGGAGGTGCATGGTGACAAGGGAGTCTGTTTCAATAGGTAGATTCAAGAAGTTGTTGCCAACAGCCAGCCTAAAGTGATCCTGAAGGGCCCAAAGCTCAGAATCAAGGATTGTTTGTAGCCAATTTTCCAAGAGAAACCAAGGATCCAGTTGCTAAAGTGATCTATGAACATGCCTCCAGCTCCCACAGGCTGGGATTTCCCAAGGAGGTGCTGTCAGTAAGTATTGAGTTTAAGGGTGCTGATAAAAAAATGTACCGAGTTTGAGGGAACCTAGTGAGGGTTTAGTCCAAGTGACAGTGATCTCATTTTGAGAATGAGTAGCCATGCCAACAGGTTGCGAAGACCAAAACTCAAAAACTCTTTCAATGATCATTTATTAGAAATGTAATATATTGGACAATCAGAGTAAAATCCAAAAATAAGAGGACATGACAACAGAAAAAGACAACAACCTAGACCCCAAAGTAAGGGTAAGGAATGGATCAGTTATAAGGAACCAGAATAAAATACAACATTTTATACCACGGAAGGCACAGAAAGACACATATGTCTAACAGCCTAAGGAATAGTTTCCACAGTCTCAGTAACTCTGAAAATTACAATTTTTTAAACTTATTATGCGTTTATACTAACGGCTTGTTATAAACAGTACTGAGATAACCCCACAAAAACCTAAGTTGAAAAAGCAATTCATCTCCACAACAAATAGGAAATGGAAATCATTCCAAAAACCCTCAATTAAATTAACAATGTTTGAATGCTACTAGTTTAATCAATTCTGAAGGTAGAATCAGGGGTTCAACCCTATGTGACAGCTAAGCACTAACTTCTTTGCTGATCCAAAAGGAAAAAAACAAATGAACGACATTTCTGCTGGTATAGAACGTCATCGCTACTGGTACACTGGTAAAAGGTTCCAATTAACAAACACCAACCCACCAGATTCAATATAATAGATAATTTAATCCCACCTAAAGTTATTACATCCTAATTTAACAAAATTTTCTGTGTTTTCCTTTTTTCTTTTTTAATTTCCATAGATACCTGACTAGATGCAGCCAAAGAAGCTCAGTATTATAACTGAATGAAATTTCTGATAAATGGTTGAAAATCTCCAAAATATATAGCCAAATATGTAGCTTATAGTAAACCAATCCCCAAATCACCAACCTCAGTATTCTCCTTGTTGTGATAACTTCCATGGATAACATTCTTTAGGCATTTTAAAGCTAAATCCTCAGATATAAAACCTGTCCCATCAGTGTGTATGCACAGGTTTCCATCTTTATCATAAACACAATTACCATTTTCATCCTGCACTATATGCATATGAAATAGGGAAAAAGGATCATTAGACACATAGCTAAGCTAAAGAAAGACAAGACGAGATGCTCATTGGAAACTTAAGTTATATGTCATACCAGGCAAGGTATATCAGCTATCCTCTGAACAGTTACATCTGCTAAATCAATTTCCAGCTCAACCGATTTAGACAAGATAAGTGATAACCTATATTCCAAATGAGAGAATACTTTTCAAATTATCCAGAAACATCCTAAAATGAGATGATGGGAAGAAAGAGAAAGATCATAAAAGGAAGAATCTTGATGTTACATACCTGGCCATATACTGGGTCACATTTGGTAGAGTATGGACATGCATGAACATACTTCTAGCCTCTTTAATAGTTTTTCCAGATAATAAATATTCTTGATTTTCATCAAGAGACGCTTTAGACTCCATACGAACAAATATGCACTTAACAGAGGAGATATTTTGTTCTTTCTTCTTGGCTTCTTTGCCTCCATCTTTAAACACTGATCATTAACCAGGTGGGATAGAAATAAACATTTTATAATCCTTGAAAGGATACAACTAATCATTGTTATCTTCATTGTAGGCGAACACTGACTTCAGTAATATAACAAACCATACTGAAATTTTCTGAAAAAATGAATGATCTCCAACAATAAAACAAATAATGCTAAAGGATAGGATCTTCAAAAGTAAAATTGCATGCTATAACATGAATTACATTCAATACTATTTCAAATTGGTAGTTTTGATAAAACTCTAATGGCTGCCCTGAAATGGGAGTGTCAGATAGATTAAGGGCACAGGGTATTCAAGAATATTGATTTCTTTCACATGAAAAGACATTAACAAGTGGGTGTCATATCCCCATGAACAAGGAAAACCTAGAGGTATCATTTTGCTCAAACATGCAAACAACCTGAACAATCTACAGAATATACAACATTAGCAAGTAAATGTGAAAACAAAGAAAAAAAAAAAAAAAAGAATGGCCCAGCAAAGAACAAACCAAAAAATTCAAAACTTTCTTAAAACTTGCTTAATAGCACCTTAAAAGCCAATTTTTGAATTTCCCTCTAACAAAATTTCAAATTTGTGAGCAAAGAATTTGCTTTATAAGATTTGCCAAACACCCTTAGTAGATGACTTGAGGCAGTACAGCAAGGTCACACAAGAAAAATGTAGTAAGCAGAGATGTAGAAGAAACAAACATCAACCTTTAAACATCATGTTAATGAGGAGCTCTTCCTAGAAAGTACTTCTCGTGACACTAAGGTGCTAAAGTGAAGAAACATATAAGCTAACAAAATGAAAAATGTGCATGTTTGTTATACATTCGACAAAAAATGGGGAGATATACAACCAAATCATGCCTGCACACCAACCACATAGTATCCCAAGAACTGAACCTTTTTCACCACTTTACCCACTTGAGGACACAGATATGCACATATAAAATATGCTTATGGGTATAAAAGGGCAAATAAAAGTGTAATTGCTGTACATACTGTCTGGAAATATTGATGTAAAAGCTGCAATAACAATTATGAATCAAATGAAAGAACAAGATCGAACGAAAAAATTCAGGACCACAGTACCAAGAATGGTGAAGACTCACCACAAAAGCAGTAAAAATACACCAACAATGTTGCACTTTTGCTGTGATTCACAAGAACAAGCATGAACTGGAAATCTAGGCATGGCGTAAAAGGCTTACTGAAAAAGTGATATCTTCTCAGCCCAACAGGGATTCCTTCTTTTAATATTTTGATGTATGCAGGGGGGTAATGACTCCTTGGAAGGCTTTTCCAATCATAACCATCTTCTGCAAACTTTACTGTGAGAACGTTATCATCCCCTAAAACCCTCTGTAGATGAGTTCTTGTTTTATCAAGATAAGGGCCCTGAAATTAAGGAGATGGAGATGATAATACATTTAAAATATAATAAAAACATAGGAAGATGTAGCATTCTGGACAATAATGCTGCAAAAGAACCTAAAAGATGGAATCTATTCAATTTTATATTTGATTGAAATCTCCAATTTACTTTAGGTTGCTAAGACATATCAACGATCAGCAGATTCTGATCTAGATCCAAAAGACTAGATATTAATCTTTCATTTTACAATAAATTTTGAATCTGCAGCATAGCTTCTTGTTGCATAAATGGTCCATCCCGAGAAGAAAAAAAAATAAGAAAAAGAAAAAAAGAGAAGGTAGAAAGAAAAACAACTACATCATGAACATTTGTACGAGCTTAGAGTGATCAAGAATGCAAATCTGAGGCCAAGATCATCAATTGAAAGCAGATACATCCACAAGCAAAATTGATATGTAACAAAATCAATGTCGTGACATATCTGTAGAAGGGCATAATATAGAGCATAGGACTATGAATACATAATACTTGGATTAAGATAGTCAAGTTTAGACAAACTACATCATAAACAACTACGAAAAGTTTGTAGCCTCAACCATTCATCAGCATCTGACAGTTGTTTCTACAAGTGTCGTTAAATTTGGTAAATCATTCCATTGTAAGTTAATTTGTATATTCATATGCATGCTTGCATGCAAAATAAAGACTATGAACAAACCTCAAATCTGAGATTTCCATCCAGGGAGACATGACAATGGTACAAATTAGTCCTTGCACAATCCCAGCTAAGATACTGCAATAAAAAAGGGAGAGGCAGAAAAGACAGAATAAGAGGTAATTAATTAGTCACATAACAGCACAGAAACCATAACAATTAAGGGAATAATCATCCCATTTATAGATCCAAAGTTTCAGATTATTCACAACTTGTATTCTGATACTAGAAGCCACCAAGCTGATAATGAAGTTAAGCTTCAGATATACTCTAGTCCATACAATGGTTAAACTAAAAGATGGAATATAACACCAACAACGTTTGAAGATTATTTTAAAATTTCTTCGGTTTCCATAAATTTTTATTGAAAAAAAATAAAATATTTTATTTTTAAAATATAAATTAAAATTTTTTTTTCTTTGTAGTGTTTATTTAAATAACATAATTTTAAAATAATTTTTCTTGTAATTAATTTTAAGAAGTAAGCTCGATAACAACTAACCATAAAACAATATACCCTAAAATTTGAAATCAAAATGGGTGAAGTAACAGCTAGATTCTTGTAAATTTGTGATCAAGAAGAAACATTATAAACTCAATTAAATTAAAAGATATATATGATGATTGGAACCTTTTCCTCATGTTAAGAGATTATGCATTCAAAAAATTGAACAGCAAATAAACTCTGAAAAGAATACAACAAAGATTACCTAGAACTGATTCAATGGGTTGTCAAAATCGGGATTTCACCTACGATTGGAAGGAAGAGATTGAGATCCCACATCGTGAACTCGAAAATAGGATCGTGAGATCCTAACAAATCGAATTATTTTTATATTTTTATGACTAACCTAATATAAATAAGAGTTCTGTAATCTGATACCGACTCTGTCTCTCTCTTCCAACTTTAACCTAGCATAATGATTACTTTCTTTATCATCCTTTTTCTGAACATGGTGGGTTTGTCTGAAATTGCAACTGGGAGTGTCGACCAGTGAAGAAGAAAGAAGAACACTTTTGAAATTTGTGATTTGGGGGGTTTCCTTTTTTACCCTTTTAATAATCGAAATATGGACAGTGTTTGTGAATCGTGAAATCACTCAAGCTCAATCTGTGTCCTACATATCCGACCTGAATTGATCTAACGATATATTATTTTATTTTATTTTATTTTTTTCAAAAATATTATTGCAGCAATCATTTTGTTTATTTTTTATGTAATTTTTGTATTATTAAAATAATTAATTTTTTTAATTCATGTGAAACTCATGATATTAAAAGTAAGATAAAAAATTTATGCTTATAATACCTCTCTTATTTTTTAATAATGATAGAGAAAATGATTTTATGGGACGAAAATAAAAGATTATAAGTGAGGCAAACTCAAAGTGCAAGATACAAAATAACCAATTTGAACTTACCATCTAAATTATCCTTTGTTGTTGTCCCATAAAATTGTTCCCTCTATCATTATTCCTTCTTTTTATATATTAATTACACAACAAAACATTTTTTCTTATCTCTTATCCTATCTTATGGTATTCCCATGTCCTTTTTTTATTTTTTTTAATTTTTTCTTTGCACTTTTTTTGGTATAATTTTTTTATTTTTTTTATTCAATTTTTTGAATCCTTGCGCCACACTGTAATATATGACTTATCGGACGGGGTCTTTAATGTTAAGAGTTTTATTTTTTATCTAATAATTATAATTATATAATTTAAATTATTTAAATTATATAGTAATTTTTAATTATATATAATTTTAATAAATTTATTATTTTATAATTTAAATTATGATTTTTATAAATTTTAATAATATATTTGACCTAATAAAAATAAAATTTTTTTAATTAATTAACTTGTAATATTTAAAATCTCGGAACTTCTCTGCAATCTCCTCCACTCAAATATATTATAAGTATCATTTAATGGTTAATTTTTTTTAAAACAAAAATCATGAAATTTAATGTGAAAATTATAAAAAAGAAATTATTCCCCTACTATTGCCTTTTTACATGGTTTGATATCTTAAAATCGCAAAATCCCACTATCTAACTTGATTTTGCCAACTAATAAAGAGAGAGGATGCACCTTGCATGGTTGTGAACCATTTACATTTTGGCCCAAACGTTTCCAAACCTCTGACTCAAATTCCACCATTGCCAAATCTTTGAGGTTCCTAATCCAATCAGCAGAAGGTATAGCTTCTTCCAGTTTCTTCCTGTTTGGAAAGAGAGAAATTTGAAAGTCAAAACCATTAAAGGGGAAAAAAAAGTGCATTTCTTTACCATGCACCAAAAAGGAAAAAGAAGCAGAAATCTTACGAGCCAATGTAATTAAGAATGAGGAAGGCCTTTCTAAATTCAAGCTCCCCCAATGCGATCATCTGAGGACTGAATCTCTCTACCACTGAGTTGTTATCCGGTTGGGGAGATGTTCTTTGCTGATCAAGAACCAGACAGCGCCTAACAGTAT